GGTGGGGAAGTCGCAGGCGAACCGCCCAGGCCGCTCCACCGACACGCCTCGGGGTGCGGCAGGGAGGTATTACGCATAGAGGAGGACCAGGGAGGAGGAGGAGGAGCAGGGAGGAGAAGGAGGAGGAGGAGGAGGAGGAAGAGGAGGAAGAGGAGGAGCAGGGAGGAGGAGGAGGACGAAAAGGAGCAGGGAGGAGGGCAGGGGAGAGGGAGGAGGTCGGGGGTACTGACCTCTGCCGAAGGCGAGGCCCAACGGGACCTCCGCCCACGACGTGGTGGTCGACCTCTTGGCCGACATCGAGGCGCGGGGGCGAGCGCCCCTGCCCCACGGATCCGGAGGTGAAGAAGGATGCTGGTGATGATGGTGATGGTGCTGGTGATGGTGATGATGATGATGATGATGATGATGATGATGATGATGATGATGATGATGATGATGATGATGATGATGCTGATGATGATGATGATGATGATGATGATGATGATGATGATGATGGTGATGGTGATGGTGATGGTGATGGTGATGATGGTGATGATGATGGTGATGATGATGCTGATGCTGATGCTGATGCTGATGCTGATGCTGATGCTGATGCTGATGATGCTGATGATGATGATGATGATGATGCGGCTGAGGCTGCTGGTGATGCTGACGATGATGCTGCTGCTGATGATGATGCTGCTGATGCTGATGATGCTGATGATAATATGTGATGCTGCTGCTGATTATGATGCTGATGATGATGATGATGCTGATGGTGATTCATATGATGATGATGATGATGATGATGATGATGATGATGATGATGATGATGATGATGATGATGATGATGATGATGATGATGATGATGATGATGATGATCATGATGATGGTGCTGATGATGATGATGACGATGATGATGATGATGATGATGATGATGATGATGATGATGATGATGATGATGATGATGATGATGATGCTTGTGTTGGTTTGATGATGAAGATGGTGGTACTTTAGATGATTCGATAGGCTTACGCCACATCTGCCGACCCCTTGTTTTTGTATAGCCTTTAGCGCCGGCTGTGGTGGACTCCTTCATTTCGGACTAATCTTGGTTTCGGGGTCGTGCTCGAGAGGCACGAGACTTGAACATTCCCGTAGCCCCTGCAGATGCGGACAGGAGGGAGGGGCTGCTTCGAGAAGGAGTTTCCGCGGCAGTGGCGCATCAGTGGCGCGCGGGAAATTGCAAGGACCTTGGTTTAACGGCGCGCAGTTGGCAGTCGTATCAGTGCAGCGGCACGTGCAAGAGAAAACTACCGAAATCGGCTTTCTCCGTGAGGCCTGACAATGTCGCCGCGACGAAAAGAAGGGCACCCTGAAGTCCAAGACGTGCAGATGATGCACACTCGAGCGCCCGTTCTGCGGTTCGTCGGAGTAGGGCCAGACGGGGAGAGCGAGAGGGGGAACGAAGCTGATGAGGAGGAGGAAGCTGAAAAAAAGGAAGCGCGGAAGGAGGAGGACGAGGAAGAGGAGGATGATGGGGTAGGAGGGGTAGAGGGAGGCAGGGGATGAGGCGTAGGCGGATGAAGAAGACAGGAGGGGGACGAATTGTGAGGGTCGAGGCTTGGGGCCCTAACTGGGGCCTCCCGGGGCCGTTGGAGGCTACGCCGGCGCCCCCGGGACGCGTTCGTGCACCCTGGATCTGGAGACCTTGTGCGGGCTTCCGGACCGTGAAGTCTTTCATAGTCTTCCGTCCATCCCGGCCTGGTTGTGCGTCAGAGTCTTGGGGGCGAAGGGGGGGCAGTGTCAGAGTCCAGACGGAAACTCTTTGGGGCCATTGTATTTGCTGCGGCTGGCATTCGCAATGGTCGCCGCGGGCGCATGATTATCGAATGGCCTTTGGTCCATCCCGCCACCGTGCTTAGCTTGTGGGTCTCAAGCCAGTGGGATAATGTGTTCGCCGTGAACGCATGATCATCGAATGGCCATCGGTTCATCCCGCCACCGTGCCTAGCTTGTGGGTATGAGGCCAGTGGGAGTTCCCTGGGGGCTGCTGCATGGGGCAACAAGGGGGCTTTTTTTTGGAGCCGAAGGCTCGAAATGTCCGTTTGGGTTCCCCCTCTGAGGGCCCCCTCTTAGGGCCGTCCTGGGGCCCTCCTAGGCCGTCTTGGGGTCTTCCTGGGCCGTCTTGGGGCCGTTTTGGGCCGTCTTGGAACCCTGTTGGGGGCCGCCTGGGCCATTTCGGGGGCGATCTTGGAGGCCTCTTGGGCCTTCGTGGTCGTTGTGAACACCAGGAGGCGAATGTGCTAAAGTCATACGTTCTTCGAAGAAAAATGGAAAGACTATTGCTTGGGGCCCTGTTTTGGAGGGCCTCTTGGAGGGCCTCTGGGAGCGTCTTGGCGGCAACTAGGGCCGTCTGGATGCCATTCCGGGCGTCTTGACTTGATCATTCGGCTGTTCGGGGCCCTCTTGGACCATCTTGGGGGCCCCTTGGGGCCCTCTTGGCCCGTTGTGAGGTCCTCCGACCGCCCGCGGTTCGTTCACCCGGGGGTCGTCCCGGGGTGGGTGGGTTAAATTCGCTGTTTGGGGTCCCTGGGGGGGGATTATGAGGGGGAGCAGTCTCACATGCCTAGAGACCCACAAAGGGTCAGCGGATTCTGGTGATGGTTATGGTGATGGTGTTGGTGATGGTGATGGTGGTGGTGATGCCGATGATGAGGATGATGATGGTGGTGGTGATGATGATGATGATGATGATGCTGATGATGATGATGATGCTGCGGATGGTAATGATGCTGATGTTGCTGTTGGTGATGTTGCTGATGATGGCAATGATGATAATTGCGAGGATGATGGTGGTGCGAATGTTACGACTAACGCTGCTGTTAATGGTTGTATTATTAGTAGTATTAATGAATACATGCTCAATCCCATTAGTATTGATACCATCAACGATGATGATGGTGGTGTTGGCGGTGTTGATGATGCTGATGGTGGTGATTCGGATGCTGATGCTGCTGATGATGTTGCCGATGGTGTTGGTGATCATGAGAATGATGCCGATGATGATGGCGGTGGTGATGAGAAAGAGGAGGAATACTATGGATATGTTGCTGCTGGTGATGAGGATGAATGCGATCTAATATGTTGGCAGGACAGGTGGCCTGCTCCACTCGCCGCCGTTTGGTTCCTAGGGGCCTGTTATGCCAATTGCTGAATATTCACACTGGCAGCTGAGCTGCGACACGATCTTCGGCATCGTACTGCTGTGCGCAGGGCTCGTCATCGTTCGGAGAGAGCGCCACTTCAGCCACACCTCACCGAGCAGTCACCCTTACGAGGGGATTGTTGTCGCCGCAATGGCAGTGTGTTCTTTTCGCCACCGTACGAATGATGACGCGTTGACGCCATCGGAGACGAAGAATGGCTGCTACATCTACGACGGCACGGTGAATCATATCCACGAGTGGGAATTCGGCACAGAGGCGCGCATGATCGCAGCTCGAGCCGCCACAGACCCCGACACTGGATAACCACAGCAACAAGGGCTGTCCACATATGTCAACGAGATAGCAGAAGGTCTCAAAGGCAACGCGTTCGGTATAGCCGTGGATCTCGGTAAAGAGACACTTCTGGCTGCGAAAGGAATGAATGGGCCAGTCGATACTGGCGATCCGCACTGCTCGCTTGCTCATTGACGCCTAAGAAGCCAAAGTCCTGTTCCAGGTAGGACGGAGACCTTGCGGGCCGATGCCACGACAAAGCGGGGAGCCAATGGTTTCGTACAGCTCGTGTAGAAGCGCTGGTTGAAACTTGTCGCGAAACTTGACCCGGAAATTGTCATGAACGACGACGTGATGGGATCTCTGCGACCACGCAAGCCATTCATTCACCTTCAGAGAACTTGACGACACGAACATCCACAGGTAACGTGATCATCTTTGATGATATCAGAGGCATTTGGATTCTTCAGCACGGTCGCGCCCACGTCCGACAGGAGGGCAAGGTATGCGCAGTACAAGCCCGGTTGCCCTAACAGGAGCAAGGGCAAAGGCAAGATTTGGCACGCTTGGCCACCTCAAGCCTGTCACATTGCCGGCGACAGTTGGCGACGCTATCCTGAAGAAGCGAGTCCGTGCGCTTACTGCGCGTCTGGCTTGGCTCCCGAATGCGGCCTGGGCGACGGTGCCTGGGCCGACGCGGCTTGGATAGCAGGTTGCCGAACGGAAGATGAAGCTTGGGCCGACGAAGAATCGCGCGTTCAAGGGTCCCCCGTGAAGGGGCAACGAGAATTCGACCCTGAGAAGATCGATGAGATATGGTCAAGGCGGGCTACGCGGACGAATCTTCTGATGTGATCGAGGAAGACTCGGTTGCCAACCTCGGCGCCGAAGGGAAAGGCGAACATAAAGGCAAAGGCGAAGGTTACCACTCCACCCCTTGGCAGACTTCACCACCCAAGGGCGGTGACAGACGGGCGCCGACCTTGGGGGGTCGCAAGAATCGTCTGCGGGAGATTATGGAACGCTCCAATTACAAGGTCAGCCCCAAGGTTGGCCACAGGTCCGGTGACCCCGAGTGCGAGGGCAAACCCAGGACGGCCAGGGCAGCGTTCATTGATGAACGAGAGCTCCAGTTGCGCCGGTGCGGCGACGAACAGCAGTTCGCGCCCGCTGCATCCCTTGCTGCGCCATTCACCATCCATCGCATCGACAGTAGCAAGGTATCGCAGCCAGGTCAGGTTCCTTTCTGTTCTTCTTTCTCGTCTCGCCTCGTGCAGTGTTGCAGGGCTCGTTCGAGTGATGGGGGAAGAGTGCGACGGTCAGCGTTGCTGGTGGAATGGTCGCGTGGAGGGGCGCGCGTGCAAAAGGATGCCTAGGGAAAATTTCCCTGCCCGACGCCACTTCGGCTCAAGACGGCCTCGAGCGCGAGCGCCTGGCCGCGTCTCCGAAGCACTCCCAGTCCTTCGCGACGGCTGGAGAGGAGTACTTCGGGTTCACCGCTTTCCGCGCGCCAGGCAGAGCCGTAGCCTCCAGGGCTGTTGCCCCGGACGCCGCTGCTGCCTCGAGGGCTGCTGCCCTGTTGCCCGGGTGCCGCCGCTGCTGTTTCGGGCGGGGGTCCACGTCGCCTTGACCGTTGCATTCGAAGGGCCTGGGGCCTACTCGATGACTAGCATCGGATGAAGACTCCGACGCGACAGGGCCATGCCCAGTCCATTCTATCCCAGATTTGACCTCCGCCCCAGGCCAGGACACCGTGTATTCGACCGGCCAGCTCAGTAGTGTCCGTCGCGGCAGAGTCTTGCGGAGGACGCCCGAATGTGTCTCTTGGGGCCGTGGGGCCGCGGGGCCAAGATGCTGGGTGATGAGTTGAACTGTTTTTGACGTGGTTCGACGTGCATTGTGCTCAGCATGGAGATGGTCGCATCGCGCGCGACACCAGGAATGGTTCCATGATTTCAGCCAGCTCCAGCGACTCAGCGAGCCGGAAGCCCCCCGATCCGCCGTTGCCTCATTCGTGCGCTCGTGGTTGCCGGCGCTTCTCAGGATTTGGTTCGCCAGCTCAATTCGTCGTCCGCCCCTGCAAGGACTGCGGTCACGAGACCAAGAAAGAAATGCACGAGGCACTGCATCAGCGAGATGAGTGTCCACATGACCGTTTTGACAGCGGTGGTAGCACTCCCCATACGGCCCGCGCATTCTGTTGCAAGTGCTCGACAGGGGTTAGAGGATCAGTCGGAGGTGGGGCGTTCAAGGATCAGACGGGGCAGGAGGCGGCATGGGAGGATGCGCGAGCGAGCGAACGAGTGAGCGAGTGAGCGAGTGCGTGAGCGATCGCGCCCCCCCGGGGCAGTCTCCCCTGCCCCCGCTCTGGGCTGGGTTGGCCAGCTCATGGCACGGGGGTCTTGACGGCGAGGCGGGGGGCGCCGCGCGCGCGGCGCTTCCACGGGCCGTGCGGATGGCGTTGCGAGGGGGCGCCGCGCACCAGCGCTGCGCTTCCACGGAGCGTGCTCGCGCGGAAACCGCGCCCCCCACCGCGCATCGTGCGCGTTGGATTGCGACCGCTGCAAAAATGCGATTCAAACGCTGGGGATGTGCCGCAGCACCGTTTTTGGGTCGCTGTTTCGGTTGCTGCATGGTGCAGTGTCGGCCTTGCCTCTTTCGATCGGGGCTGCGGGTCTGCTTCTCGATCTCGTTTCGTTCGGCGCGTGATGTGATGTGGGCTAGCGCCGAATCGTGTGATGTTTGCGAGGAGAAATCGCGATTGCCCCACCCACCCGCCAATCTCCTCCCGCGGGATTCGACCAGGTCTGCTACCGCGCAGGTGCCGCGCGACCGATCGGGTCGATTTCGTGGCCAGCGCAGGCGGAATGACCTTCGCCTCTCGCAGACCAGCGCGTGCTGCGCAGGGCCACGCCACAGGTGGCAGGGGGGTTTTGGCCCTCTCCCCCTTGGCGCGATCCTGGCTCGGTGCAGTCTCCCAAGCTTTTGCCGCATCTTTGCAGGGTGAACAAAGTGGGGGGGGATCGCGTCGCCGTCGGCGCTTAAAGAGCGCAGAACTCTCAGAGGCTTCCGTCGGGTCGCGACCTGGACCGGCTCCTCACAGTTCCGCCTCGTGGGGGGGGGTCCAGGAATTTCGCCCCAAAGGAGGAGAAGGAGGAGGAAGAGGATGAGGAGGAGTTGGAGGAGAAGGAGGAGGATGAGGATGAGGAGGAGAAGGAGGAGGACGAGGAGGACGAGGAGGACGAGACGGAAGAAGAGGAGGAGGACGAGAAGGAGGAAGAGGAGGAGGAGGAGGAGGAGGTGGATGATCATGATGCTGCTGCTGATGATGCTGCTGCGGATGATGATGATTATGATGATGATGATGTTGTTGTTGATGTTGTCGATTATGCTAATGATGATGGCGATGATGATGACGATGATGACGATGATGATGATGATGATGATGATGATGATGGTGGTGGTGGTGGTGGTGGTGATGATGATGATGATGTTGATGATGATGATGATGATGATGATGATGATGATGATGATGATGATGATGATGATGATGATGATGATGATGATGATGATGATGATGATGATGATGATGATGATGATGTGATGGTGGTGGTGGTGGTGGTGGTGGTGATGATGGTGGTGGTGGTGGTGATGATGTGGTGATGATGATGATGCTGCTGCTGCTGATGCTGATGATGATGCTGATGCTGATGCTGATGCTGATGATGATGATGATGATGATGATGATGATGATGATGATGATGATGAGGATGAGGATGAGGATGAGGATGAGGATGAGGATGAGATGAGGATGAGGATGAGGATGAGGATGAGGATGAGGATGAGGATGAGGATGAGGATGAGGATGAGGATGAGGATGAGGATGAGGATGAGGATGAGGATGAGGAGAAGGAGGAGGAGGAGGAAGGAGGAGGAGCTGGAGGAGCATTAGGAAGGGAAACCAAGGCTAATGAGGAGGAACAGGAGGAGGGGAAGGAGGAACAGCAGGAGGAGGAACAAGATGATGAGGAGGAGGAGAAGGTGGAGGAGGAGGAGGAGGAGCAGCACGAGGAGGAACAGGAGGAGGAGGAGGAGGAGGAGGAGGAGGACGAGGAGGAATGGGGGTGAGGTGATAGGGAAACGTATGACGGCCGTGCTTTTCTCCTCTGCGTCTATTGTTGTGCGCATCGTTTCGAGTGTACAGTGTCTAAGGCGGTTGTGAGTCATCGTGCTCGCATAACCAAGGCCATCGCCTGGAGGTGCCCACGTCCTTCTCCCCCTCCAGGTAGGATGGGCGAAGAGGGGCGGAACACTGAGGAAACCGTTCTGGTGGTTTGTGTGGGTCTTGGAGGGGTTCCACGGATTGCCAGTGAAGGGGAGGAAGAGGAAGAGGAAGAGCAGAACGAAGATGATGATGATGATGATGATGATGATGATGATGATGATGATGATGATGATGATGATGATGATGATGATGATGATGATGATGATGTGATGATGATGATGATGATGATGATGATGATGATGATGATGATGATGATGATGATGATGATTGCTGATGATGATGATGATGATGATGATGATGATGATGATGATGATGATGATGATGATGATGATGACGATGACGATTATGATGATGATGATGATGATGATGATGATGCTGATGATGATGATGATGATGATTGATGATGATGATGATGATGTGATGATGATGATGATGATGATGATGATGATGATGATGATGATGATGATGATGATGATGAAATGATATGATGATGATGATGATGAGGATCTGGATGAGGAGGAGGAGGAGGGAGGAGGAGGAGAGGGGGAGGAGGGGCGCCCCTGCTGCCTCGCGGGCCTTGCGCCTCCCCCCCCCCCCCTCCTCCTCCTCCTCCTCCTCCTCCTCCTCCTCCTCCTCCTCCTCCTCCTCCTCCTCCTCCTCCTCCTCCTCCTCCTCCTCCTCCTCCCCCCGCCTGACAGGTGAATGGTAAATTCGGATTTTGCAACGCCCCAAAGTGGCTTCGGTTCAGTGCATGACCCCCAGGACCGATGCTCAGGGCCGCCCCCTGAGGGCTGGTGGGGGCGCCACACCCGCGACCAGCGGAGGAGGAGGAGGAGGAGGAGGAGGAGGAGGAGGAGGAGGAGGAGGAGAGGAGGAGGAGGGAGGAGGAGAGGAGGAGGAGGAGGAGGAGGAGGCGGAGGAGGAGGAGGAGGAGGAGGAGAGGAGGAGAGGAGGAGGGAGAAGGGAGGAGGCGGAGGAGGAGGAGGCGGAGGGAGGAGGATGAGGAGGTTGAGGAGGTCCCCCGCCTCCCTGCTTAAACCTCCCTTCCTCTTCCCTTCCCCTTATTCCATTCCCCACCTCATACCCCTTCTTCTCTTCACCTTTCCCTCCTTCCTGCTCCCTCCCTCTCCTACTCTTCCTCTTCCTCATCCCTCCCCTTCCTCCCATCATCCCCCCATCATATCCTGCACCCTTCTCCCCCCTGCCCAGCCTTGCGCTCCCCACAGTTGGGACGTTCAGCTTTTGTATCTGCGTGAATGATTTCCATTACTAGGTCATCATTCGGGGAGAACCCGTTGAGTTAATGCAGGCACTTATTAGTGATCCGAGAAAGTTGCGAGTTCATACGTTCAGCCACACTCGCGAGGTGAGTCCATAGGTGAGCTCCTGTCTCAGGCAGAATCGAGCCTCGCTGATTCAGTGAAGTTGATAGTGAAAACTTTGGAAGCACAAGCTCGGAGGAGAGTGCGGAGGAGGACGCACCTGGCTGCGCGCACATGGAATTGAGCACGAGCACGCCGCCACCAATGCCAGACGTCAGGTCACTCTTCCCGAGAGCCCCCCTCGTGCTGATTTGTCGCAGGGGGGATCGGTGCTTGCCATAAACATGCAAGTCGTGCTACAACTCCCTCCCTCCCTTCTTCCCTTCCTCCCCTCCCTCCCTGCCTCCCTTCCTCCCTCCATCTGCCCTATCGTTTCCCTCACCCCTAGTCGTCGTCGTCGTCGTCGTCGTCGTCGTCGTCGTCGTCGTCGTCGTCGTCGTCGTCGTCGTCGTCGTCGTCGTCGTCGTCGTCTCCTCGTTTCATATCTGTGCTAGTTTGCCTACCATTTCAACCACAAATTCTGCACCCGCAAGTTCTGAGGTTGCGGCCCCCTACGCAATGCCCAACGGGGGCACGGGTACCACGGCACCCGATATTGGCGTCTTATCCTCCTCCTTCCAGCACCCCGTGGCAGGAGGTCTGGGAAGCTGCTGGGTCCCAGGAATGGAGGCCAGGAGGCCGCGTGCGGCTGCGGGGGAAGAGGGCAAAGGCAAGCAGGGAAACGCCGAACGTGCTACCCCGCGGAGGAACAAATCCCTCCTCTTTGCGCCGTCAGCAGGCGAGCGAGGCGGTGGGAGGGCGGACGCGGCGGGGCAGGCCGCAGGCCCGCTCCCTCCCCCCGGGAAGGAGGCGCGGCGGTGGGGCCCCCTGTGCGCGCCCAGAGGCCGCCGTGAGCTCCGACGTGTTCGTAGGCCATTCGCAGCCTCGGGAGTCGGGGGGGCGCCCACGGAACACCCGCACTGCTTCTTCTTCTTCTTCTTCTTCTTCTTCCTCTACTTCTTCCTCTTCTCACTTTTCCTCGTTCGCCGCCGATCCCCCTCCTCTTCCTCCTCTTCCTTCCTCTCCTCCCTCCTCCTCCCTCCTCCTCCTCCCTCCTCCTCCCTCCTCCTCCCTCCTCCCTCCTCCTCCTTCTCCTCCTCCTCCTCCTCCTCTCTCCTCCCTCCTCCGTCCTCCTCCTCCTCCTCCTCCTCCTCCTCCTCCTCTCCTCTCCCTCCGCCGTCCCTCCTCCCTCCTCTCTCCTCCGCCTCCTCCTCCTCCTCCTCCTCCCCTCCTCCTCCTCCTCCTCCTCCTCCTCCTCCTCCTCCTCCTCCTCCTCCTCCTCCTCCTCCTCCTCCTCCTGCTCCTCCCTCCTCTTCCTCCTCCTCCTCCTCCTCCTCGTCCTCCTCCTCGTCCTCCTCTTCCTCTTCCTGCTCCACCCGTCCCTGGCCCACGAAATGGTGGATGGTGGGCCTTTTCTAGGCCTCGCAGACGGGTCCGAGCAGATGGGTTCGGAGGATCGCGCCGCATCGCCGATGCATCGCCGATGCGGCTTGATGCGGAGCCCGATCTTGACGCTGGCGTCGCCGATGCATCGCTGGTGCATCAACGATGCATCGCCGATGCATGGCCGATGTATCGGAGATGCGGCGCGATCCTCCGACCCCATCTACGCCGACCCCATGTAGGAGGTCTCCACCTTTACAGTGCGGGCGCGCATCAAGAAACCATATACTTTTCGTCAGGATACCCTGGGTCTCGTCGCTCTGCGCGCTGCGCGGAGACTTCCCGCGGCCGTCGAAGAAGCTGCTGCGTTCAGGGTGCTCCAGGTTTCCCCTCTGGTGCACCTCGCGCGAGGTTTTTCAGCGTTGGGTTTCTTGCGAGGGTTTCTTGCGGCCGCGCCCGCACTGCAGTCCTCCCAGACGGTGTCATAGCAGATGGGGTCTAAGGATCGCGCCACATCGCCAATGCATCGGCGATGCGGGTTGATGCGGAGCCCGACATTCTCCACGCCGACGTCGCCGACGCGTCGCCGATGCATCGCCGATGCATCGCCGGTGCATCGGCGATGCGTTGGCGATGTGGCGCGACCCTCCGACCCCGTCTTCTCGGACCCCATCTGGGCGGCCTCCAGTTCCTGGCCCACGGCTCGGTGAGAACTGTGGGCCTGGCCAGGATCGGTGCAGGCGTACTGGCCTGGCGCCCTCGCAGAGGTGCTCGCTGGCCGCGCCAGGTTCGCAGAGCGCCCGGGCTATTTTTTTCTGCGGGTGCGGGGCGGAGTCCCACCCGTGTGGCGTCCATTGGGAGGGGGGCTCGTGGTCCAGGCGCTCCGCAGTTTGGCCCGGTGTGAGGACGCCCCACGTGTGCCGCACACTGATCATACAAGTCATGTGTTGTGCATATATATATATATACACATCTATACGTGTATATACATATATATATATACATGAATAGATTCGCGCATACATTCATATGTTAGTCAGCGTGGACCCCAAACAGTGAGTTTCTAGCAATACATGTGGTGCTATCTACGTGGAGCAATCTATGTAGTGCAATATGTGTGGAGCAGTATGGTGCGGTCTGTGTTGTACAAGTAGTTTTGCGCAAGCTATATGGCGCAATCAGTGTGTTAGGAGCTAACTTAGTCATCGATGTGGTGTGAACTTCGTGGTGTAAGCTACGTGATGCACTGGGTGTGTTTAGAACTAGCGTGCTTACGTATGCGGCGCAAGCTACGTGGTGTAAGCTATGTGGCGCAATGGAATTTAGTAAGCGAGTTGCCATTCTCATGCAAACATCGTGCCCACCCATTCGCAACTTGGTTTGCAAAACCCATGCGGTGGAGATTGCGATGCATGCTTGGCGTTGGCTGGTGCATTTTTGCGGCCGCGCCAACCAAAACACCCGCGCGCAGCGGCCAGCTAGTTTGGCGCGACCGACGCGGCCGCGGCGGCGGTGACCGTTGGGCACATCCCAGCGGGCACTTCACTGCGATTCGGCGACTTGGGCGGGCGCGGTATCATTGCAACGTCGACAACGGTAGACACGAGGATGATAGTAGCGATGCTGGTGGCGATGTTGACAACGACGAAGACGCGGCCAGTGCGGGCGCCGATGTTCACCACGCCGACGACGATGACGGTGTCCTCGCGTCGGTGATGAAGGTTTTGGAAAGAGTTCGACACGCGCGCGCGGCCGACGCGCAAAAGTTGTCCTCATGGTATTATTTGACACGGATCGTGCCCCCCCCCCAAAACGCGCGCAAGGACGTGCAAATGATGTCGGCACGCGGCGCGAGAAGCTTGCTTGGCAACATTCCATGACATTGTTGGAAACTTCTGGGTCCCCCAAGACTTCACAAGAGCGCGGGCGCAAACTCCAAAACTTTCCCCAACCATCCTGTGATGTTGGGTCCTCGTTTTGAAGAGACAACGCCCCGCGTCCCTTGCTTCCTTCCCGCTGCCCCCTCCTTCCTCCCCCTCCTCTCTCCTCCCATTCCTGCTTTTGCTCGCCGCATGTCCACCATGCCGGCACACCACTCACGCGGTTCGTGGCCCCATAGGGAGCTCCACCGAAGGCCCCAGTGGCAGGGTCCGCATGCGGGGGCCGCCGCCCATTTTGGCACACCCTTTCACGAGGATCGTGGCACCGCAGGGAGCTCCACTGCAAGCCATATTGGCCGGGTCCGCAGGCGGGGACCGCCACTCATTTGGGCACGCCCTTCACACGGCTCGTGGCCCAACAAGGAGTTCCACCGAAAGCCCCAATAGCAGGATCCGCGTGCGGGGACCGCCACCCATTCTTGCACACCCCTCATACGGTTCGTGGCCCCATAGAAAGCTCCACCGAAGGCCCCAGTGGCAGGGTCCGCATGCGGGGACCGCCACCCATTCTGGCACACCCTCACACGGTTCGTGGCACCACAGGGAGTCCCACCGAAAACCCCAATGGCAGGGTCCGCGTGCGCGGGCCGCCACCCATTCTGGCCCACCCCGCACACGGTTCGTGGTCCAACAGGGAAGTCCACCGAAAGCCCCAATGGCAGGGTCAGCATGCGCGGGCGCCACCCACCCTGGCCCACCCCTCACGAGGATCGTGGCCCCACGGGGAGCTCCACCGAAGGCCCCAGCGGCAGGGTCCGCAGGCGGGGACCGCCACCCTTTTTGGCACACCCCTCACACGGTTCATGGCCCAACGCGGGGTTCCACCGAAGGCCATAGTGGCAGGGTCAGCATGCGGGGACCGCCACCCATGTTGGCACACGTCTCACATGGTCCGTGGCCCCACGGGGAGCTCCACCGAAGATTCCAGTGGCAGGGTCCGCATGTGGGACCGCCACCCATTTTGGCACACCCTTCACACGGTTCGTGGCCCCAGAGGAACTCCACCGAAGGCGCTAGTTGCAGGGTCCGCATGCGTCAACGCCACCCATGTCGGAGCACCTTTCACACAGTCCGTGGCCCCACAGGGAGCTCCACCGAAGGCCCCACTGGCAGGATCCGCGTGCGGGGACCGCCACCCTCTTTGGCACACCCCTCACACGGTTCGTGGCACCACACGGAGTTCCCCCGAAAGCCCCAGTGGTTGGGTTCGCATGCGCGGGCCGCCACCCATTTAGGCACGCCCTTCACACGGTTCGTGGTCCAACAGGGAGTTCCACCGAAGGCCCCAGCGGCAGGGTCAGCATGCGGGTGCCGCCAACCATTCTGGCACACCCTCACACTGTTCGTGGCACCACAGAGAGTCCCACCGAAAGCCCCAATGGCAGGGTCCGCATGCGGGGACCGCCACCAATTTAGGCACACCCCTCACGAGGGTCGTGGCCCCACACGGAGCTCCACCGAAGGCCCCAGCGGCAGGGTCCGCAGGCGGGGACCGCCACCCATTTTGGCACACCCCTCGTATGGTCCGTGGCTTCACAGGGGGCTCCACCGAAGGCCCCAATGGCAGGGTCCGCATGCGGGGACCGCCATCCTTTTTGGCACACCCCTCACAAGGTTCGTGGCCCCATAGGGAGCTCCAACGAAGGCCCCAGTGCCATGGTCCGCATGCGCGGGCCGCCACCCATTTTGGCACACCCCTCACGAGGATCGTTGACCCACAGGGAGCTCCACCGAAGGCTCCAGTGGCAGGGTCCGCATGCGTCGCATGCGTCAACGCCAATCATTTCGGCACACCCATCTCGCGATTCGTGGCCCCACAGGAGGCTCCAACGAGGGCTCCAGTGGCAGGGTCCGCATGCGTCAACGCCACGCATGTCGGAGCACCCTTTACACAGTCCGTGGCCCCACAGGGAGCTCCACCGAAGGCCCCAGTGGCACAGGCCGCCTACGCCCAACGCCGATTTTGGTACACCCCTCACACGGTTCGTGGCCCCATACGGAGCTCCACCGAAAGCGGTACCCACACCGCGGTATTCACAATTGCGTATGGTTGCGTCTTTCGCCAGGATAAATTTGGCATGCGCGCGCGACGACGCGCGTGCGTGCACTTCGTCCCGTTTTTGGAAAAGGATGCTCGCGCGCGTAAGGGCGTTCGAACGATTTCGACATGCACGCGAGCGAAGCCCGTTGTTCCGAACATGTTTAAGTACCAAGTGTTTTCATCAGAATTCGCAAGAGCGCGCGCACAAGTTTTTCTGAACATCCGTGTTGCGAAATCAGTTTTTTTGTTCATGCATATATATATATATATATATATATATATATATACATAGACTATGTTTTGTGGGACTCTCGATTTTGAAATCCCTACGACACCGATTGTTTTTGAAGGATTTCGGCATGCGCGCGCGATGACGCGCGCGTGTGCATTTCTTTCCTTGTTTTGCGAGATATTTTCGCAAATGGATGGTTCTTGGTAAATGAATGTGCGCGCATATTGGTTTGCACAGGATGGCGGGGGGGGCGATACCGGTTGGGCTGGGATGATA